TCTGGCTTTTTCTGCTTATGTGGTGCTGAGGAATCGAACCCAGGGCCTCATGCATGCAAGGCAAGCACTCTACCACTGAGCCACCTTCCCAGCCCAAAACCCTCATCTTCTTACATTTATCTTAGAAGACTCTTAGAGACTTCTCTAAAATAGTTGTTTGGCACAACTTTATTCTGTTGCATGTTTGTTTGTATATGCAAACAAATTTTTATATGCTTATTACTGCTACCTTATGTCAGACATTGTTCTTGGCATTTGATTTACTTCAGTGAACAATAAGTGTGATTCTTGATACTTCCAGTTTAGGGAGAAACAGTAACAACCATCAAGTACATCATGTCATATTAAAAAGTATGGCATGGTACAGGGGGATAGTTATGTTTGGAGTGTGGCAGGTTGTCCTGTTTTCAAAGGTGGCCATGTAGTCCTTACGTGAATAGTTTGCAGTACATCCATGGGTATTTGGTTCTAAAGAGACCACCACTGTCCTTCCCATGCTTGATTAATTTTCCTCTTAACACTACCCAACTTCTGCTAAGACATGCTGCCTTAGAACAAATCTAAAATTCTTTCACTTTGCCTTTTGGGTTCAATTTCTTTTTTGAGATGCATAATTTTACAAAATTATGGGTAGGAAATACTAAGCAGATCACACAATGATTTAAAAACAACTAACAATAACCTGGGACTGATTGAGAGCTTCTCCAAATCAACTGAGCTGTATCAACTACATGTAATAAATTGGTGAATAAGGTGAGATTACTGTACACTATCTTGTTTAGATATTCTGCAAAAGAATAGTAAAACATAGTATATCTCATGTGTTTAGGTTTATAATTAAATTCTTCATAAATTTAATTCTTACAGAGAATTCAAGTTTTAGCACTGGAGATTTTACATTTCCTTAAAATTATGCAATAGAATTAAAATTTTCTCATGGGTAAATTCAAGTTAGACATTTTTGACAGACATACTATCATAAATGATATATCCTTTTCAATGTATTATACCATAAGTGGATGAATATTTAGAAATGAACTCTGAAAAAGCCATGGAAATTTCTTTTTCTTATTTCCCTTTCATGTATGCACAAAAGTGATATATGATGTATATGTTTTAAATAGCCTTAGCATATGCATAAAATAAACATTGTAAGTGATAAAGCATACTTAATTGGCAGCATTTTCTGTTTCAATTGTATGCACAGTATTTTAACTAATAAGGCCTTAGGTTTAATTATAGCTTTAATCCCTTCTATTTGTTTTCTACTGTTGTATTACAGATGGTTGATAATGGCTCCTTATATCCATTCAGCAAATATTGTAATACTAAGAATACAATCGTGAACAAACATATTCTGGTCTCTATATTACTATAAAACCACAAAGTTAATGGCTTCCAACAGCACAAATTTTGACAGTTTGCAGGTCAAATATCTGAAACTGATTTTACTAAGTTCAAGACAAGGTATTGAGAGGGCTGTGTTTCTTCTGTAGGCTTCATGGCAGACTTCATTTCCTTGCCTTTTCTTCCTTCTAGAGGCTGCTTTCTTTGGCTCCTTTGGAAAGTAGCATTTCAAACCTTTCTTTGAATCTCTTGCTTCCTCTTTTCACTTAGAAGGTCCTTTGGGATGATTACTTAGTGCCAACTGATCCAACATAATTATCCCATCTCAAGTTTGATCTGAGCAGGGTGTCAGTAGTTCATACCTATAATCCAGCTACTCTCGGGGCTGAGATCTGAGAATCATGATTTGAAGCCAGCTTGTCTGACAAATTCTGGTGACTCTTATCTCTAATTAGCCAGTAAAAAGCCAGAACTGGAGGAGAGGTAGCGTTTCAGAAGTAAGCGGAAGAAAATTCTGAGGAAGGGCATGAGGTCCTCAGTTCAAACCTCAGTACAGTCAGACAGACACAAAAGGATGCAAAATACATTTCGCAAGTTATGGAGATTAGGATATGGGCATTCGTGGATGGCCAATTATTCTGCTTATTATCGTGTCTTTGCTCATGGAATTTTTATTATAAAAAGTTAAATAAGCCGGGCGCCAGTTGTTCACGCATGTAATCCTAGCTACTCAGGAGGCTGAGATCTGAGGATCGTGGTTCAAAGCCAGTCCAGGCAGGAAAAGTCTGTGAGACTCTTAGCTCCAATAAACCACTCAGAAAACGGGAAATGGCGCTGTGGCTCAAGTGGTAGTGTACTCACCTTGAGCTGAAGCGCTGAGGGACAGTGCCCAGGGCCAGAGTTCAAGCCCCACAACCAAAAAAAAAAAAAAAAAAGTTAAATAAGACTGAGAAGATGGCTCAGTGGTAGAGTGCATACCTTGCATGCATGAGGCCCTGGGTTGGATTCCTCAGCACCACATAAGCAGAAAAAGCCGAAAGTGGCATTGTGGCTCAAGTGAAAGAGCACTAGCCTTGAGCTGAGGGACAGTGCCTAGGTCCAGACTTGGACAAAAAAAAAAAGTTAAATAAGCAATTATTAATCTGCAAACAGTAGCCAGAAGAAGCCAGAGAAGTAGGAGTACAGCAAAGAAGTACTGAATGGAATGTTGAATATTAAAGGTAGCATTGTTCTCAGGGTAGGAAACCACCTCTGGATTTTACAGTAAATACCATTGGTCATGCTGGCAAGAAAACTGTCAACATAATACAGTAATAGTAATGGAGTGGACATCCATAGTGAAGTATTTTTTAGTAAAAAAGAGCTAGTTGTAGTGGCACACTCCTGTAATTGCAGCATTCAGGAGGATGAGGCAGGAGGATCACAAAGTTGAGGCCAGCCTGGGCTACATAGCAAGGTCCTATCTAAAAAAGAAGGGGTGGGAGAAAGAACTGAGAAAGTAGAGATGGTTATTCTAAGAAACACTTCAAATTATGTAGGTGGGAAGAAGACACATCATTGCAATTATACTTAATAGTCTCTTAATTTAACTCAGTTACACAGATGTTAAAAAGAAGTACTTTTTTGTTTTTTAAATTGAAGTACAATTGCTACTGATATCTCACAAGGAAACGTTTGTATGACATTCTTTTATTCAAGGCCTTTCGTAATACAAATACATTTTACTTTTGCCAAATGTCTTCTATTGTTCCCATTATAAATCTTCTATTCTAATTATGTTGTTCCTGATGTTCCCATTTCTGTGTCTATACTTCTTTTCCATCTTGGAATGCTTTTTACTCCACTTCCTTTTCCTGGTTTTGTTAGGATTCTGGTTGTCTCAACCCCTACTACCTCTTATCTCTTGGAATTTCAGCAGCACATCACTTATTCTTCGTTACCCATTTTTCTACTCAAACAGTTATGTTGGGATAATTAATCACCTGATTTTCATTAAATTTTATGATTCTGTACTATATTTTGAAAAAGTTCAGACTTAGAATAAAAACTAGTATCTCAAGCTTTTTCCTGTTTTTAAAAATAATTTCATTATATCATATGAACAAGAAATATAAATGGAGGGAGATTCGTAACTGTTATATGAGTTCTCTATTTACCTTTGCTAAGAAGAAAAAAAATCTTGGTATATTCTACTTTGTAATGTCACTTTGTAATTTTTCTGGAGTACAATTAAGAATTACCACTTTTAAATTTATTTGTTTTTTCTTTGGAAGGTCCAAGGGATGTCCTTCATTGCAGCAGTACTCATTCTCAATTTAGAAGAGGCAGATGCCTTCATTGCATTTGCAAATCTCCTCAACAAGCCATGCCAACTGGCCTTTTTCCGTGTTGATCACACCATGGTATGGACATTTGGAATGGATTGTCTTTTCTTTTAATATGTTTCTGTATTTTTTACTTCCTTTTAGAGTAAAAACTCAAATGATTTCAAGACTTAGGACAATCTGACTAATATAAAATATTCATTGAGGGGGAAAGGGGGAAGTATGGGAAGGGATGGGAAGAGAAAACAAAGAGGAGGCAACAATGCTTGATAAGAAATGTACTCGTTATCTTGCCCATGTAATTGTAACTCCTCTGTACGGTATTCTCACAATAAAAAAATATTCATTGAATTAATGTGAGGAATACTTGGTGATAATACTCAGAAAGAGTGCAAACAAACAAGACTTTTCTATTAATAAAGTTTTAGTTCTGTATTTCTAGAATATTCTTATATAATTTTCCCATCCCTTCTTTTATAATTTTACTGATTTTCTATCTATAGATGCTGAAATATTTTGCAACATTTGAAGTATTCTTTGAAGAAAACCTCTCCAAACTATTTCTTCATTTCAAATCTTACAGTCTTACACCAGACATATACTTAATAGACTGGTAAGTCATAACATTCATAAGTAATAATGAAAAAAGAAAGTATAGCTGTAGTAGATATCATTCACTGGATCATACATATAAAAGAACTTTCTTTTATGAATAGAGAAACTTACATATTTATGGGGATGTGTTTGATTAAGAGGATGAACTAGGTTGAAATCAGACTGATGCAGATTTTTTTCCCCTAGTACTCAGGGCACTTTCACTTGAGTTATGCGCTAGTTTCCTTCCCCTTCTCCTCCCTACCCCTTTTTTCTTCCTTTAGTTATTTTTGAGATAGGGACTTAAGCTTTTTGCCTAGTCTGGCCTCACATCATAATCCTTCTTATGTCCCTATTATAGGAATGCAACATCACACCTAGTTCTCAAAAGCCTCAACTGGTGATCCTCCTGATTTGTCTCCCTAGTAGCAAGAAGTATAAGTATGTGCCTCCTAGTTTATTTTTATTTTGTATTTTAAAAAATTATCTTCAAATAGTTGTACAAGAGAGGTTCAATTTAGCATATTCATTTATGTGTACAGTGTATCTTGATCAGAGTTACCCTTCCATCTTTCCCACCCCTATCCTATTCCCTTAACCCAGTTTCTTAAATATAAAAAAGAATAGTTAGATCTGCATCTTGAGTTGTATTGAGAGTGAATTCTCACATTCAATACCTAGCACATATTAAGTTCTCAGTTGTTATTCCTTTATTAGCACACAAGGACAATGATAGTGCTTCTTCAGTAAGAGATATTTTTCAAGACTTTATTCAGCTTGCTTACAGTTCTACTGTTTTGTGTTTTTTTTCTTTTTTTTTTAATTAAAGACTTTCTGTTCTTACTTGGAGGGTTTTCTTGGTATGTAGTGCATTATAAAATGGTAGGTAAGTTTTGCTAAAAAGATGACTCAGTTGATCTTAAGACAGGCTGTCAAAAATAGATACAATTTTAAACTTTAGATTCTAATAGTCAAAACTAGTAAGTTTATGTACAGGATACTAAGAGTTTTTTTTGTTGTTGTTGTTTATTTTTATATTTCCTTCGTTCTAGACAGGTGCTAAAACGGAACTGCATCCAGGCCTAATATTAATTTTCTCCTGTGTGCTGGTACTGGGGCGTGAACTCAGACCAAACCATTCTCCTTTAGTATGTTAGGTAAAAGCTGGTGCTCTACCACTTGAATCACCCCCCCACTTCTGGATTTTCCTGACCTGGCTGGCTTTAAACTGTGATCCTCAGATCTGAGCCCAGCCCTCTGAGTAACTAGGATTACAGGTGTGAGCCACCAGCACCTGGCTAATATTAAGTTTTTTACTATAAAATGTTGAAATTGAGTATTAGAGGCCTGGTTCAATTGGTATAGCTCAGGCCTAGCAATCATGAGACCCTGAGTTCAAATCTTCATACTACCAAAAAGAGGAAAAAATTATAAAATAATAATGATCAAATATGATGTTTTATAATTGCTTTTGCCTTTATTTTCATACATTTTTGAGGGGGGGGATTTTTCTTGCAGGACTGAGCTTTACCCCCGTGTCTTGCTTGACCCTATTCTAAACACTTTATATTTATTTACTCCTTTAATTTTCAAAACTGTCCTAAGATAGATATGTTATTATTTTTAGTTTACTAATGAAGACACTGAGGCATACTGAGACTTGTTCAAGGTCATATAACCAAATGACATATTCAGGATTCAAACTTAGGCATTCTAGTTTCTGAACCCATACATTTTCTTGGGTTGTAAATTTACATTGTTATTAATACTTAGTGTTCTATTATTCAAATTTGAGGGGAGAAACATTTGTTTCTTCAATGCCAGGCCTGGGCTTGAACTCAAAGCCTAGGTGCTATCCTTAAGTGTCTCTTGCTCAAGGCTACTCCTACCACTTGAGCCAGAGCTCCACTTTTGTTTTTTTGGGGTAGTTTTTATTGAAGATAAGTCTCATAAACTGTCTTGCCTGCGCAGGCTTTAAACTGAATCCTCAGATCTCAGCCTCCTGAGTAGCTAGGATTACTGGCATGAGCCACTTGTCCCTGGCCTTAATTAATTTTTTATCCCTAATTAAATAGTATCCTTTTTTTTTCCAGAGAGATTTAATGAATCAAAGAATGAAATGTTTCAGTGACTGTTTTTCTCTCTAATTTTAGGATCTTCACACTATATAGCAAATCTCTACCACTTGATCTGGCTTGTCGAGTCTGGGATGTATTTTGCAGAGATGGGGAGGAGTTTTTATTTAGGACTGGATTAGGAATCCTCCGGTTATATGAAGATATTCTCCTACAGATGGATTTTATTCATATAGCACAGTTTTTAACAAAATTGCCAGAAGATATCACATCTGAGAAGCTGTTCAGCTGTATTGCAGCCATTCAGATGCAGAATAGCACCAAAAAATGGACTCAGGTAGAGTGTCTTTTTTTTCTTTCTTCCTTTTGTTTAAAATTCTAATAAATGTGTTAAAATAATCATCTGACATTTTGTATAATAGATATTTTTCATATGTTATTGTTTAAATTAAAAGTAATTTCTGGCCTGGGCACTCTCTGGTGGCTCACACATAGCTTCTCAGGAGGCTGAGATCAAAGGATGGAATTTTGGAGCTACCCCAGGCAGATAAATCTTCAAGACTCATCTCTAGTTAACCAGCAAAAATCTGGAATTGGAGGCATGGCTCAAGTGGCAGAGCACCACCTGTAAGCAGAGAAAAAAACTGAATGGGAGGCCCTGAGTTCAAGCCCCAGTATCAGCTCAAAAACAACAACAACTACAACATACACACATAAAACAAACTTGCTATGTAACGAGGATTTACATTAAAGACATGTAATATATAATTCTAGCTTTTTAGACAATGAAGTCTTGTTATAGGAAGCAAACATACTGGCAGTCCAATTAAATTACATAAAAGCAATATCACGCTCTATCAATGATACAGATAAGTAGCTTATTATAGTCATATTTTTATTGGATATAAAAATGAAATGTTAGAATACTGATCCAGAAATTGTTCTGATATCAAGCAGTAACATCAGAATATTAAAGTTGATAAATTTATTTAAAGGAATTTATTATATTCTATTTAAGAAATGATCATCTTTCCTTTTTTTTTTTGGCAGGAGGCACTATTCCTGAGCTACTTTTGCTCAAGGCTTGTAATCTATCACTTGAGCCACAGTGCCACTTCCAGCTCTTTCTGTTTATGTGGTACTGAGGAATCAAACCCAGGGCTTCATGCATGCTAGGCAAGCACTCTACCACTAAGCTACATTCCCAGCTGCAAAATGATAATCTTTCATAGAACAGAATTACGTACACTGCAGCTTTTTCATGTTTATGAGCTATAGTTATTTAAATCTCTTCTGGGTTTCTTAAATTTCTTCTAGGTTTTGAGAATTAATCTTAAGTTTACTTAATTTCCAGGTCTTTGCTTCTGTAATGAAGGATATTAAAGAAGGAGACAAGAACTGCAGCCCTGCCCTGAAAAGTTAGTCCTCTAGCGACTGATACAAAAAGTATTTTGGGGGTAAAAGTTGTCTGTTTCCTGTGTAAAGAGCTGGAAGAAATGGGAAATCTAAAAGAATCAAGAGGCGGAAAAGTGCTCATTTGAAATTCCATGTCTAAAGTAAATGAAATAAGTAATTTATTGACAGTATTAATTTAAAAATTATTTTGTAGGGAGAGCCATTTTTTAGAGTAAAAATCTTAAGTAGGTATTTCATATTCCACAATTTGGAGTTTATAATTGAGTGCAATAATAAAAAATTTAATAGCTTCAGAGATATTTCAAATCATTTTGCATCTTCCTTTTTCAACAATTACAACAAAGACACATTTGAGGTCAAGAGAAGATTATTAAATATACTACTCTAATCTCAATAATGCTACAGAGTAGAAATTCTCTACATTTCTGATTATTTGAAGACATTGTAGAACAAGAATAAGTAAGTTTGGTTGTTTGAAGACACTGTAGAACAAGAATAAGTAACTTTGGTTGTAAATTATTTGTCACTGAATTTCTTTTATCTTTATTCACAGGTTGGGGAAAATTTGAGTTATCTGGGAACTTGGAAGTATTGGTGGGAGATTGTTTTTGTTTGTTTAAGGTGTTTTCTCACAGTATTCTATTTGTTTTTGAAGGGAAGAAGAAGAAGAATTTTAGCCTTTTTAGTGTAACATTGTTTATCTCATAATTTAGTATTAAACAAACTATTTGATAGAATGAAAGTTCTTTTTGCACTTTATTGGACTGAAGTCTTGACTTTGGGAATAAGTCCAAAAATATAAATGAGGTTTAATTTCATTGGTAAGAATAAAAAGTAATGAATTCTGAGTTTTTAAATAGCATACTGTGTCACAAGACTTTGCTTTTTTTCTAGATAAATTCCTCCTCTGTGAAATGAAATTTATTAATTCCAGTTTGAAATTTAAAATCTTACATGTCCTAAATCCATAACTTGTGTAACACTATGTATAATTTTTATAATCAATGAAAATAAGAGTAAAATTAAAATTTTTCTGAGTTTAATGGCATAGTAGATAAGGAAATTATTAATCATTGGTAAATTTATTATATTGGTAAATTTATTACATTGAATTTATTATATTGAATTTTTGACCATAAACTAAATCATTTGAATGTTATTGAGTTTATATATCATACCACTTGGTTAATAATTAGTTTATATTTTTATGTTACAGTTTGGTTTGAAACTACTTAAACACACAATTTCTGTTAGTGGTATAGTATAGTCTTCAAACTAACAAGCCTGAGATCCTTGTTAGTGTAGTGACTGCCTCGTAAAGAGTATGGGTCCAGAGGGTGCCCATTTATTTTTACCCTATGGGTCATTCTAGCCTAGGGGACTACTAGTGGAACCCTCAGAAGTTAACTCCTGTCATGGGGGATAGCTTAGTGGAAACTGGTAATATAATAACATATTGAGGAAATGGTCCAGGGTCTTAATGGTTTAGGATGACCTTTTAACTCTGGTAACTATTTCCTTGGTATTGGTGTCCCTGATAGAGGGAATGTATCCTCTGGCAGTAATCTCATTGAGGTTTTACTACCTGCCTATATTTAATATTACTTTTATGTATTTGCTTCTTGAGGGAGACCTAAGTTACTGTGTTTCTTTTTCTTATTTTTTTATTGTACAGTTTCTTTACCTTCAAATATAAATAAATGTGTATATAAAATGTAAATATAAAGAGTTCACTAAAAACCACTAGTAACAATTGCTATGTAAATAAAACATATAAGCAGAGTTATTTGAAGTGAGTGTTTATTACTTTGGAGATTCCTGATTTAGTTAACCACATCTGGAGAAAAACAGGCCTACACTTTTTTTTTTTTTTTTGATGGGGGAAAGGTAGGATGGGGTGTTCAAATTTCTCTTCCAAGGGAAGCAATAAGCCTTCAGTCTTTTGAGACACTCAGTACTGGCAGCTAAAATACTATACTGTTATCGTTCCTTTGAACCTCATACACATAGTGTTTCGCAGGTTTTTGTCTTTTGGTTAAATATGTTTTTCCTAAAATTCCAAGATAATGTGAAATTTAATGTTATTTCTGTTGCTTGTCTACTTAAATATGTTGCTTTTTTCCTTCATATTCCTTTAGTCTATTATTCTTTCATTACTCCTTTATTATTCCAGGCTATAGTGCATTATATAAGTGCTACTGAAAGATTCAAGTGACTTGTTTTCTAAAGTCAGATTTTTGCTTTTTTCTTTGGCATTGATGACCTTTATGTAATGCTGTTGGTTTCAGTATATTTGACTACACAAAAGTTAGGCAACATAACATTTGCAAAGTGACACTGAAATTTTAAAAGCTTCTGACTTTCAGATAACAGCTTTCCATGTAGGTTGGGAATTAGTACTTCTTTTATTTACAACAGTCAACTCATTTAGAGGGTATAATTCTAATTTTTTTTACTTAATAATGCCCTAGTTTATTTTTACTTTTCTATTTTTGTTTGGATAAGATAAAATTATTGATGAAGAGCATATTCAGATAACAGGCTTGATTAAAAAATTTTAAAGAGGCAAAAATGGAAATCTATTAGGTTTTAATTTAACTGATAACCAACTGATCAATTATGTTAGAATCTCTAGAAAAAAAATTGATGTTTGATGTATTGACCAATTTTGCTGTTTGTCAATCACTACCTAAAAGATGAATTCTCATAGTAAAACCTTACTAATTAAAACTTGACTGTTTCACAGCATATGAAAACTAAAATGAAGTCATTTCATTTTATCAGGGAAACTGGCCACTTCAAAAAAGAAGCTTCCATGCTCTATAAAAATATTGTTTACAAGTGCAGTTCTAATAGAAGCAAATGATAAGGAAATTTGAATTTATTCAATCGCACTTATTAAGCCCTGATTATGTGCCAATTTCTGCCTCTTTATATTTTGGTAAATTATGTAAAGTTGTAAGACTTGAGAATCTAGCAAAATTGCTTTTCTTTCCAAACATGTGGCTGTTTATATTGTCATTTTGTCCCCAATTACTAATGTTTTATTGTATACAGTTCTTTTTGTGAGCTAGGGTTGTTTTTTAATAAATACTAGGAAGGAAGTTTAACTTTTTAGAAAACTGCATTGCAGAAGTGTTTCATTTGTTGAACATTAAACAGAACTGTCATGACAAAGTAAAATGACTTTTGTACTCTTATATAAATGTATTTGGAAAATCGTTTTTGTAATAAAAATCTAAATGATTAAGACAGACTTGAAGGAGTATATAAAATTGACATGAATGGGATGTATACATTTGTTTTCATTTCTACTCTTCAATTTTAAAATGAAACTTCAGCCAGATGCTGGTAGCTCATACTTGTAAACTTAGCTACTGAAGAAGCTGAGATCTGGAAGGAGGTAGTTCAAGGCCAGACAAATTCACTAGAGTCCATGGTTGGAGTATGGATGGAGATAGACTCAAGTAGAGCGCCAGCTTAGCAAATAAGAGGTCCTGAATGTAAACTCCATTATCTCCAAGAATAACTGAAATAATCAGATCCTATCATTTCCTACTCTAGATACTCTAGTGGCATTCCTCACAATAAGAGATCCAAGCTCTTTATTCTTGTCTACTAGGTCCTACTTGATCTGATCTGTCCATCTCCAGTTTCAAATGCCACTTACTCCCTCTTGGAACACTGGGGATTGAACCCAGCGCCTTGTACATTCTAGGCAAGGACTCATTGAAAGAATGCCCAGCCCAAGTTCGCTTTTATACACATTGGGCTTCTTGCTATTTCTCATTCTATAGATTTTACATCTACTTAAAGTCTTACTTTTTCCTCTGAAGAGTTCCTTGTAAGGTCTTTGTATGGCTTATGCTTTTCATTCAGTTCCTTGTGTTACTTCCTCTGAGGAAGATATTCGTTTAACCATCTCTCTTCTATTTTCATGACCTTATCCTGCTTCAAATTTGATTATTATATCTTATTTATCACTGACATCTGCTACATTGTATACTTGGTGATAAAAACTACTGTCTGAATTAATTAGTATTACTCAAATATTGGCACTACCAGCTATAGATACAAATAATGAGATTTAAAAAAAATCTCATCTATTCCTCACCAAATTTATCTTCCATTTAAAGATTCATTAGAGAAACCATGCTCCTGGCGAGACTCAGATTATTTCTGGTTCACTCAGAAAATTCAACTTTCAAATGTTATGTGGAAGTGAATGAAGTAGATTGTAGAGGAAACACAGAAATTACAAATATGTGGCAGCGCTCTGGCATAAACTAGAGGCCCCGATTTCCCCTCAGCATGGCACCGGACAAAACAACAACAGGAATCACAAAAGAGCTGTTGGAGGGGGCGGGGTGGGGGTGGATGGGAGGGGAAGGAGATGAGCGGGTCGCGGGGGGGGGGGCGGGACCGGGGAGAGGGGGGGACGGGGGGGGGGGCGGGGGGAAGGACGAGGGACCGAAGAGTTTCCACGAAGGTGCAGTTAGGGTTATGAATTCAGCTCGACAAAGCTAGGCGTTTTCCCGAAGGAAGCTGTCCAGACGGCCGTCGGGCAGGCATGGACTTCAGCTGTGCGTGGGAGCTGCAGTGTGACATCGCCGTCTGTGCATACCCGGTGTCCGGGCCTAAGTGACTTCCCACCCCCATACCAGCCCTCAGCAGGGTCGTTTCGGGAGGTTTTCCTGCGGTGGCTGGCGTTCACCGCCCCGCCTGGATACGCGTACAGCTTTCCCACCTGGAAGGTCCTGGGTGGTGGGTGTTCGCTGGCAGCCCGTACGGGCGTTCCTGGCCAACTGCTCACGGCGCTACTACAGGGATAAGCAGTTCGGAACCTTCATCAACTAGAGGACAACACCGGACTCGCCAAAGTCGAGACCATGGCTATAACGAGGAGAGCGCAGTTTGCCGGAGTGCCGTGAGGTGCGTCCGGGCGGGCGCGAGTGCGCGCGCGCGCAGCAGCGGTAGCTCCACAAACTCCGCCAAAGCCTGCCAAGCCGCCGCGAGCCGGGGGGCGGGGGAGCGGGAAGTCTCGCGAGAGGACAGCGTTTTCCCGCGAAATGAAAGCGCGCGTTTTTCTGGAGTTGGGTATTTAGCGAGAAGTCTGTGTAGAAGGGAGTCGAGTGCGACCTTCTCGGCGCTGCGAGGGAGGTGCCGGTTCCGTTTGCTTGCCCCGCCATGCCCGCGGAGCAGCCCGCCAGCAGCAGCGGTGAGTGACGGGGCCCTGCTTCCCTCCGGCGGTGGGCGACGGGGCGCAGCACGGAGGGCCGCGCGGAGGCTGTGGCGGAGC